TTGAAAATCCGGATGTTGTTCACGTTTTATTCTGTGTGCAGAAGATCTCACACTGATTTCAGATTAGTGAAAGCCTGTCTTGCTATCTTTTGGATCCTGGTTTTGACATCCACGTCTGTGCCATTGCCACCTGTAGTTGAAACAATGCTGCCTACGAAGATAGGTGACGTCATTTCATCTCCCCAATCCCAGTAAGGAATAAGTTTGTTTTTATATTTTATATTATCTTTTGTGCTCTGAAGTTTTTTAGCGATTGGATTGGTTTTTCGGGGTATGACTGCTAGCCGTATACCTAACCTTCCCTCTTTATCCAGGCTTCTGACCAGCCGGTTAACTAGTGAACTCGTAAACTAGGCGAGGTTTTTATGATTCAAACGGACCCAACATTTTGTCGCCCCACTTCTCTAAAAACGAATCGAATAATTATTCTTTTTAGTTCACAATTCAGACAGACGTCTATTGAACTGCCTCTACCACCATAGCACAGGTAATCGATATGAACGCCTTACTAATATAGTTACATTTTAGACGATATCATTTTCTGAAGATGGATAGTCGTATTTATATACATAACAAGCTTATAAAAGTCCGTTATTAGGCGATAAGGTATAGCTGAATTATTCATCAAATAAGAACCAGATGCAGATGTTGGAACTGTAGTACAGAAGTTTAAATATGTTCACCCATTAGTCAACTTCACTTGAGAATTTGAAGCAAAGTCTGAATTTAATTTTCTCGATGTCTTATTGAAAGGGAGACCAGACGGTTCCCTTGACTGACCGATTTAGAGGAAGCTAACAGAAGATGGACAATACTTAAGTTTCCATAGCTGCAGGCTACCCAGCAGAAAAAGAAGTGTGATTTATTCTCTGTCGTCAGAAATAAGAATTATCTACACGAGCAATACCATCGACGATGAATTGGACAAACTCTACAAAGTTCTCTTACAAAATATGTACCCATGCAGATTTACTTAGAAGAATTTGAAATTAAAACAGAATACGGAGCAAGTACTGAGCTCTAAAGAAGACTTGGATTACGAACTTTGGTTCCAAAGGTGACACGGCAGCAGAATCCCTAAGTATCAGTTGTCCGAACTGATGAAAAAAACATTCTTCTCTGCGAAGCTAGAGATCATCTTCTCTAGTCAGGACTTGGTTACAGACTGTGTTGAGGACAATATACCGCTTTTGCCTCCTCAATTTATGTCCACAAATTTACTTACTCCTGTGGAATTAGTTATATTGGCCGCACAAGGCGCACATTTTCTAGACGTATCTCTGAGCAGTGTCTGAACCGTTGTCGAGGAAAGAATGTAAATCAATCAGCAGTTCACTCCATGAATATTTGACCAACTCCAGAAATATATCTCCAGCAAAGGCCACCTCTAGTGTTATTTGTAGAGTCAAAAGGAGCAGTTAGAAAAGAGTAAGCTTTCGTCAGTTGTGCGCAGCAGAAGCATCAGTAATTGACTAATTCAGGCATGATCTCTACATGAATCGGAAGTATGTTCAGTTTCTTATCTTATGATGGTCCTAATACACAACTTTTCGATTCCATTGTAATTAGCTACTTTCCTATCATCACCTTCATTATGATCCACATCTCCTTATATCTATACATTGAACAATCAGTATCTGCATTTCACATCTGTCGATAATTTTCATTTTGTCAAACTCCTTACCTTTCTCATTATTTCTGTTGTCTAGAAGATTGTCACGTTACCACTCTTCATTCTTCACTTCAATTTTTAGCACTGGCTTCATTTTGTGATCATACCAAATTGTTTAGTGATAGACTGTTATACGTTTGTGACATATACAACTACGATTGTACAGCGCATTAGAAAATGATGTCGTCGATAAAGAAAAGTTTCTATCCTGACTTGTCGCCTCTTTTCTTTATGACTTGATGACCATATTTCATCGGCGGTGACACTTTATCACTGTGTTATGTTCTCTTAACTAAATGGTGTAATTTTGAAGGTTTCGTTGTCTTTCTAGAGATCATTACTGCTCATTTCAATATGAACTTCATGAAGTCAGCTTCAAGGTTTTGTTAAGAAAGACAATGAAATCTTCACGATTAAACCACACAGCCTAGAGAAGACAACACAACGAAGAACATCCAGCTGAGTTACAAATATTCTCCATCAGTGTCATTTCCTCGTTTTGAAGAAACTATTACATTTACCTTCCACACCCTGTACATATATACATATATACATGTATGTAATGTGTTATACTTTACTATTTTAGTACGTGTATCATGCACATTCATCGTGAGACAGACAACAAGGACATCTGATCTGAAACTGCAAACAATGTTGTTTCCAAATCGTATGAATGAATAGTGAAAAATACTCATGATAATTTGTGTACTCATTTAAGAAAACCTCTCTTTTGTCACTAGGCATCTCAAGAGGATGTTTAGTCCCACCAACATCGTTATCTGAAGTAAGAGTACTTGTAAGATGTTTGAAGTAATCCATGCAAACTGAGGAGTGATGAAGTTGCAGGGGTCTGTTAATCACGAGAGAGAACTAGTTAGGCCTTAATGGGAAGTAGCTGAAAAATTATACTTGACAGAAAGGATGGTAGTTAGTGAATGCTGAACGTATCATGTGAAAATGGCTAATAATGAATTGGCATGCTATGCGTTGACTCCGATCACTACAGAATAAAGGGATGGCTTATTGTTAACGTGTTATGACAAGAAAATGCAAATTAGATGAGTGGAAGACTCAGACTGAAAGGAAGTACCCGGATTGAATACATGAGGATTTATAAATTATTCCATCATTTTATAATGTTGCAAGGAATATAGGAGCAGCAGTGTTCCTAGGAAAAGCTGATGGTGAAGTGTTCACAGATTCATGTAGGTATATGGCAGTATAAATATTGTTACAAAAGAGAGAAATATAAGTGTCAAAGTCTTTAGAAGTTTTAAAGGTGTTGAATAGCCATCAGTACTAGCAAATAAAATTATTTTTTCCAGAATCCATAGATAATTTATAATTGATTTGTGACTATTCCGAATTAATCACGAAAAATTAATCAAATGTCAGCCTCATTTCACTGGAATGATAACAGAGTGAATATTCAAACTATGCATGTTTAAGGAAATGGAATGTGTTATTTAAAAAAACATGCTTGATGTAGAGTTGGTAAAATACTGACCATATTCTCATTTTTTTCCGTTTCTAAAGAGAAGGAGTGAAAGTTTGATCAATCAGTCATTATTTCATTTTTTTATCGTGTACGCATATAAGTTTCGACAGTTGTTATTATTCTTTTCAATATAAATTATTTATTTTAGTAAATTAATTGGTTGATTATTTCATATTCCATTTAGGTTTCACTGTAGTGTTTATCGTCTTCTTTAGAAATACTTATCATCGCAAAGGTCTTCAGAAGTACATATTCCATACTTGAAGCTCATTGTTTTCTGTTGCGTGACTTCCATGACTTCATAGACACTGTACTGTTTACATTATTGATCCATTCAAAAATGTTGAATATCGATAAATTACACGGGAACCAACTGGATCGGAATATCACATTACCATATATTACTTTCTGAATGCGGTCAATAGTTTTTTAGCTCATTGTGCATATCACGGGACCTCCAGTTGTAACGGTGATATTTGATCTTTAAAAAGTAACTAAGGTAGATTTTAGTGATTAAGTTTCCGCTGAATACATAATTTCCAAGTGAGTCTTTGAAACTGTCTACTAAGTCAAGGCATACAGTTGAAAAGTTGTACAATTTCGTAGTTTTTTTCAATGGAAGCGTTTACAACTCATCGATTCAAATCCCATCTCTTTGTGCAGATAAACCCTGTTTACTCTCTTAGCTTACCATAATCTCGATTACCTTTTACTCTTGTTATTGATTACAATTAATTCGTTCACAAATATCCGTGAAAGGTTTATGCATTGCAGAAAGAATCATTTTATTATAAACAAATTGTAACCGATAATTTTACACGCAGTGATAAGTTATTTCACTTTGGTTATAATTTAAGCGAAATAGCGGCCTATGATCACACCAAGAGTTTGAGTTGTTATTCATAATTTTGTCAATCGATATAGTGTAGTCCTAAAAGTTGTGTTGAGTCACCTTCCTTGCATACCTGCGGGAGGGTATGTATGTAAGTATTGATTCTCTGATTATTTTGGTTTTATTGGCTAGTAGGGTATCGATTTCATAACTAATAGCATATTTCTTACTCAATGCACCGGCTGCTGTCGATAAAATTTCTTAATTGTTCTTTTGTTTTTGTCCCACTGTGAAATGACCTTCAGTTAATCTTTGGTGTTTATTCAGTATAGTTTTCAATGATCATGATATTTACCCTTAATAGTATACGAAGTCTAATGCACCACACTGTTGTGGCCTAATTATGAAACGGATTTTCCATTTGATTTCCTTTAACTTTTTATGGAATCCATTTGTTTAACTAAGGTGGAAATGTCAGCCTTTTTTAAGATTACCTCTGACGTAACTTTTTGCATGGTAATACTCCTATGAGTACTCCTACTTCTGTAAGTAATTCCCACCTTACAGAAATATTTGTATTTCTTTTATCACTTTCACCGTATGTTGAATTATTACTTAATCCGCACCAAAAATCACGAATCACATTGTAGACTATATTAGTAACATAAGGCTGCCCTATATTTTTAATCATAGACTGTTACATGTTTCCTGCAGAATGAAATCTAATTGTACAGCTTTAAAAAATAACCACCGGAAACGAAAAAAATTGTTTTTACTGATTTATTTCAACAGATCATGATTAGCTTTCATCATCTGAAGGCAGTAAGATAATTTTCAACTTTGTAAGTTTCCAATATCTACATAATTTTTAAATTGGTCAAGTGATGCTACTTAAATTTAGTAAGTAGTGTTGCCTTACTGAATAATTTACTGTAAATCCCATAAAGATAATGTTACTCAATTAAATTTGAAATATATCTGTCACTGGGTAAAACGCATCATCGCAAAAGAATTGAATTTAAACAAATTTTACCAAAAACTATGTCAGCTCCGATTATAGCTACCGAGTCTAGGTACTTTTCGTTATTACAATTTGTAATTTTACTTCCAATAATTTTGGATTGAAACTTGATTGTACAAGTTAAAGAAATACTAAAACCAAGTAAACATATTTTAGGAAATTCGTTTTCTCGAAAACTTATGCAAGAGAATATTGCTTTCTTTGCCATCTAAAGTAAAAAATTAAAATTTCAGCAAATCTGCAAAGACATAAACCATAAAAATAAAGGTATAACATTTTAGTTTGGAAGTATGTGGAGATTCTGTGATTTTAAAGTGATATTCCTCATGCAGCCCAATGATCTGCAGTCCTCTACTACTTTCAGTTTATGATATAGCGCAATCATCATCCAGCCTCGTCAATCGATATCAGTTTCGTGAACACGAAAAGTCATCTAAGTAATCATACAATTGTTGACAGCATCTTCATTTTCTTTTGGTTTATTTTCTCAAGCACTTTGTACTAATAGGGTAGTACATCAACAAGGAACTGTCTAATCAGTCTCTTTTGAATATAAAGAAATTCTTTCGACCCCAGTTCTTAGCTTCTTGAATTATTGATGTCACCTTAGTTGCTGTTCTTGTTTTAGCATTTTGATAAGGAGATGAAATGAAAAATGACTACAAAAAATGAGTAAATTCAGCAGTATAGCAGAACTTACCTGAATAATTGGGTAAATAAATAGTACTATTAGGTTAGATAGCCATTGAATTGATTGACAAGTTGAATAAGCAGCTGCTCTTGAACCTTGTCTAAATATTTCTGAAACTATGAGAGCAGGGACTGGACCCAAACCCATTGTAAAGTAAAAAAATAAACAAAAATGAGAATGACCGATAGATTTGTCATTACATTTTGAGGGAATCAGGGCCTGCCTCTGCTAAGTTAACGGTTGCAGTCAGAACCAATAAAGACACACCCAGTGCTCCAGTTAGTCACAAAAGTAATGTAATGTCGGCCTGAACGCTCCAAAAGTAGAAGGGCAGCTATAGTAATCATCAATAGCAAAGACACAATATTGAATGTAATAATCTGAGACTTTGGCTCCTTCTAGCATGACAGCTAAGTATGAAATAAACTATAGTTAAAACGGTCAACAATGTATAATCTGTATACACACATTCAAAAACAAACCAATTGATATATAGGAACTGTAAAAAGTAACTGCTGAGCAAGAACATATGGATTACCTTCAAAAATAATGTGTTGGTCTACTAGCAATTCTTCACATAAAAGGAGAGCATGCCGTATGGATAATACTACTATAATTATTATTCAAGGATACTACTACAGAAATGATAATGGTTTCAAGATGAAATTATCGCTGTTACTTTGACTGACTTTGGGTTGCAGCACATAAAACCTTAACAACTAATCTGTGATATCTGAATTGTGCAATATGAGAAGCGTTAATTTACCCACCTTGCTCCTTCTTAGTCAATAACTTCATGTACGATTTTCATCCATCTGTTCAATAACTTTGGTGATTTTCTCTTCTCTTTTCTACACCAATCTGGACCGTTTAATCAAAAAGCAGTGACTTAAATTGTTTACTGTGTATTCCATCCATGTCAGTCAATACAGATTTATAACCCTCTAACCAGAAAATTAATCTTCATCCCCAAAATTCCTATCTTAGTGGTTCTACCGCATCTCAAAAATAATTCAAAATCCATGACTGTGGAAAATCCTATCCCCGTCATATTTGCCCCTAATAAAAACCTCTTGTCTCTACTGTAGGTTTTAGCGGACACGTATGAAATGTATGCCAGACATGCCCATAGTTTTATTCGCTGCTCTCAGTATCTCCTATACATATTCACTGTCACCACCTCACATGACTGTGTCATGTATTCGGAAAATTCACTCGAAAAATCAATCCTCATGAAGTCACAGGTAAGTGTTCATCACTCTTTCAAAAGCAAAACGTTGAAGGGAAGTGCATTTCTGATGGAAACCACTTACTGCCCTCACTGTAGACGACAACTCTTAGTTGGTTTTACAGAATCTCCTTTAGTCTAAAGAGTAGGATAGTATCGTTTTCAATTTAGTCAATAAAAATGATAGTCTTTGAGCATCATTGACGAAATCTGAGTTTTAAAACCGATAAGTGTTGATTACTGGAAAAATGACCGTTGTTTTTACGTGTGACAAACTACTAAATTGATACATAGTCATCGTGTGGAGTTAAAGTCCTACTTCTGTTTACATCGGTTAGAATACTAGTTAGCTATAAAACGTATTTATGGTCATTGAATTTTATAACCTAAGTTTAATTTGTTTAAATAATGCAGTGAGAACATAATTCGAAGGCTCCGATAATCCCATTATTTCATAAAATTCTTCTGTGCTGTACAACAGAAATGCCTTACATTGTGACAATTCTCTGTACAATAGTAAAAGATATGAATAGGCTCAAATTAAATAATGCACACCTTAAAAATACTTGTTTCTCATTAACATCACAGTAAAACTTGTGCACGGTGGAGATGGGAGTTTAGATACTAGTGTCTATAGAAAACTTTCAGATTCATATCCTCATTCAGGCTTCAAATCATTTCATCCTTTGTCAGCTGCAGCTGGCTTAATGTGGTGTCTGAGTAGCAGGACCAGTAAAATAGGAGATCTAAGACAAGAAACCAGATAAGTTAAAGATACCCTGCCCATCAACAATTACCCTCCCAAATTAATTTAAAGGTTTCTTAGGAATAATAAGAAAAATATTAGTGAAATAAGTGTTAACAGAAGTAATAATAATGCTAGTAATAGTAGTAATAATAGTATGAAGAGAGAATTCAAAACTCCTACAGTATTACCACACAAAGAAGGAACCTCAGAAATACTACTTAGGATTCTCAACAACATTCGGATTACAATGGCATTTAAGTCTTCAAACTAGCTTGGAAATAAGCTTTTTTTGGTTAAAAGATCCTATTGTTCCAATTCAGCAAAGTGACTTAGTCTACCGAATCCCTTGCAACGTCAGGTCAAAGTAATTGGCTATATGAGCCCAAAAAGATTAGCTAAGTCAAAATTGGTAGTAAGGTGAGGTATTCAGAAAGAAGCTCAGCCATAGGTATTCATGCAACCACACAGAACCACACAATTGGATGGGACGGGGTAAAACAGTTATAACTAACACAGCACAGTAGAGGAAGAGATTGATAATTGAATCTCTGTTTATCAGATAAACACCTAATACATGCAACAGGAATGATGCAGCACCTGTTTCGAATGTATAGAAAATCTTACTACCCATATCACAAATAAAGCAAAGAAATTAGGACTATGACTATGGACAATAAACAAATTATGTCTGAAAAGTAATCGAGTAAACAATACTGTTACACCATGTGATACATCTAATAAATCATTTAGAATTGAATTTGTTTCTCACACTGATTCCTTGACGTGATATTCTCGGAGAAGCTCTCAATGAATAACAAGGTATACAAAATTCCTATATTAAATCCTAAAACAAACATGTGACGTCGAATAAAATTTTATTTTCCACCATTTCATTGAATGGAGCTGTACAGTTGTATTTAAAAACATTGAAGACGAATAACAGTCTACTATTAGTTCATAGAGGTTAGATGATTACTATAATGCTAAAGAGTAAGATGAAAAGTTTCTTAATGCACATGAAAATTATTACTGTAGCTATGGGACGGTTGATCAGTGCACATAATTGCTCTGTAGTCAACGATCAGGTTTATTGCTTTGCATTGTCTATGGTCTGAATATGCATAGGTGACCCAGTCGAACGCTTATGGGTCTGCTGAGAGGCCCTCTGTAAGTTATTTTGAAATAATTATTAGGAGGGGTGAGATGTTCACACATGAAAATATTCTTTAGAACAGAATTGTTAACGTATTTTCTATCTCCTCTGGATAAATGAGCTGGAAAATAGCCTAAAGGCTTGATAGTGTGCGCGTAGATTCACACGATCAAATAGACTGAGAGACACTCAATGAGGTGGTCATAGGCTGTAATCACTTCTTAACTCACTGATATAACAAGTGTCTACTGCAGAATGTAATTCTCAAGCTAGCTGGATAATGATAGTGTTATACATCTCCGTTGATTTCAAACAAGATTGAATAGTTTAAGCAAATGAAAATATCTATAATAAAATTATACTCGTTGTAACGTCTTTGTTTTATGAATAGAAAGGTTTGACTAAAACCTGAGGAGTATACTGGCGCAAATTAACAAATGGCTAAATGATCCTAAGCCTATGGGTCGAACAACATTCATCAATTTGTACAAGGTGAGGAACTAAAAGGTCATTGGATTGGTAAATCACCTATATCTTTGGTTAAATGCCAGCTTAAGTCAGTTGATAATAACATCCATGCTACTCAGCCGCCAAAGTAGTCAAACCACATGTCAGCAGAGCCTGAAGGTCCTTAGTTCGAGCCCTGGCAGGGTTAAGGTTGCGAGCTACTGAAAAGTTCCATACTATGCTTAAACAGCTCTCCAGTGTTCCCAGGTTTCCAATGTTTATCCAAATGGCATGTAACATCCTATAGCGTACAGCTGTTGAACGAGATTGATAAAAGTCTGTGGCACTAAAACCGTAGTGTTGAAGCAGCAGCTCTCAAATTACTTCTCGGTCGTCTCTGCCAAAGGCGTTTTCGAAATCGATGAAGTTGAGGTAGACATTTGACTGCCATTCTATGATGATGCGTGGAGTAGAGTTGCGTGGCAATATGAACCGTACATGGTTTGTTATTCTTGAAGCCAGCCAGCCAGCCTATTTTCGGTCGTAATCCAGTTGAATACAGAGCATATTTCAGTCTCTCCAGGATGATGCAGCTTAATAGTTTGCTTGGTGTGGACAGTGGTGGAGCATGATTCTGCATCAGTGCATGCAAAGACTTAGGTCTCCTTACTTCGGGAGTTTGACAAGATAGGCCTCCTTCCAATCAATGGGTAGGTGCCTTGCCCTCCTTACTCCCAAACCTTCTGCAATAGTGGTGTGAGCATGCCTGCTGTTGTCTCTGCGTCCGTTTTCAGTGCTTCTAGAGAAATTCCATCTAGCCCTGCTGCTTTCCTGGCTTCTAGTAACTTCATGGCGTTCAGAACTTCACTTCTGCTTTTGTGGGTGTAATTGCGTTCACTGGTAGTTCTGAAGTGGTCAGCCCATCGTTTCCTTCGTTCCTCTCTCTCTCTGGTAAACAAGTTTCCTTCACTCTCGTTGGTTTCATTTGTGTTCATCTCTTCCCTTCCAGGTAGTAACGTGCTTAGTGGATATAATGTTTTCAAATCTCTCTGTATCTCTCTTACCTGCAGCCTGTTCTACTTCACCTGCCAGTGTGTCGCAAAAGTGTCTTTTGTCTTTGCGTGCACTCTTCTTCACTTCTTTGTCCAGTCTAGTGTTTTTTAGGTTGTACTCAATTCCTCTTTTCTTTGTTCATCCCTGAAATACAATGCACTGCACTGGTTCATCTTCTGCTTCACCATCTTCCTCTCCCTCCACCATCAGCTCCCATGTGACCGTCGAGATACATTCATCGTCTTCTCCCTTCTTCCTCCTTCCTAACACAGTTATGCAGGTTTCCTTCCGCATCTCTTCCAATGGGTTCCAGTGTTCTACCACCCAGGTTCCCACAGAGATGTTGCCTACTAACTCCCATTTTGTCCTGATGACTGACGACTTGAAGATGTCCGTTGTAGTTTCCTCCTTCAGTTAGTTTCTTTTCTGGGTGTTGAACGTGAACTGTCGTCTGTCACCAGCCTCTGTCATTGCTTTCAACTTGATTTGGAAGACAGGTTCCTTGAACTAGACAGTGA